GCGTTTCATGGAAAATCGGAGCTTCCCCTGCCCCCTTTGCTCACCAAGACGTGGGTCCAGCTGCAACTATCCCCCTCTGCTGCTTTGTAGCTCTGTGCCAATGCCCTGCCAATGCCATTGCCCTTTGCTCCTGACCCATAGCCCCCCACCCCCCAGCCCTGCTGATGCCCCTCACTCCCAACCCACAGCCCTCCATCCCTGCCAGTGCCCCTCACTCCTGACCCATTGCCCCTCACCCCAACTCCCCAGTGTGTGGGGCAGGGGGTGTGTGGGTATAGTTGATGCCATAGGCAATGCATTGAGGGGGGGTGGCGGGGCACATGCCCCGCCAGATTTCTGTGCCCATTATGTATTCCTTATAACGGATATTCTACTTGCTTTCCTAACTTAGCACAACCCAAAGAAGCATAAAGTGACTCTAGAATATGTGCGTATCATCTGCTGTTTCACTGATAGAATGTGTATATCTACCATAGTAGTGTCCAGAGACCTGGACAATCACCACTGGGACAAAATGGTTACTTGGACTATGTGTATGTAAAATATATATTTTAATATGTTATATGTTGAGGTAAACCCAAGGGCTTAAGTACTTAAAATGTAACTTTTTTTCTAATGAAGACAAGAATATTGAGTCTGAGCTCTAAGGCTCCCTTTATAGATGAGAGAGAATGTTAGTGATATTTTTATGAAGTGCTGTTTAAAAACATGTCGGGATCATTATTGACTCCAAGATGAACATGGGCCGACAATGCGAGGTCATGGTTGGCAGGGCTAACCGGACCTTGTCGTGCATCCACAGGTGCATCTCGAGTAGAGCCAAGGAGGTGATCCTCCCCCTCTACGCGACGCTGGTCAGGCCACAGCTGGAGTATTGTGTCCAGTTCTGTGCGCCCCATTTCAAGAGGGATGTGGACAACATGGAGAGGGTCCAGAGGAGGGCCACCCGCATGATCCGGGGACAACAGGGCAGACCCTACAGTGAGAGACTGCGGGACCTGAACCTATTCAGCCTCCACAAGAGAAGGCTGAGGGGGGACCTGGTGACCGTCTATAGACTCACTAGGGGGGACCAGAAGGGTTTGGGGGAGACGCTGTTTCCCCTAGCGCCCGCTGGCATAACAAGAAGCAATGGGCACAAGTTGATGGAGAGGAGGTATAGATTGGACATCCGCAAGAACTACTTCACAGTTAGGGCGGCTAGGAGCTGGAACCAACTTCCAAGGGAAGTGGTGCTGGCCCCTACCCTGGGGGTCTTTAAGAAGAGGCTGGATGCCTACCTGGCTGGACTCATTTGAGTCCCGTTTCTCTTTTTGGGGTTTTTTTTTGTTGTTCTCCCGCCCTGGCGGGGGGTCGGGCTAGAAGATCTACTAGGTCCCTTCCGACCCTTAATCTATGAATCAGGTAGTGTAGATAGAGTCAGATGCCTTTAAAATATCTTAACAAGTGAAAGAGGACATTATAATTAGTTGTGATCAACTAATACTTTTAAATGCATCAGGCCTGGTTCTTTTATCTAGCTAAGATCTGACCGTATCAAAAGAGAAGCCAAGGATAGTGAAAGGAAAAGGCATCAGGAGTTGGGCTGAGAGCAGCCCAAGGCTTCACTTCAGATGGAACAATGAGACATTTTATTTTACAGAATACTGAGTTTAAACTTCCTTAAAGATCATTGGAAACAGAAAGGATAACTAAAGGCAAGAGGCCTAGAATGAGAAGTTTATATTCATTTCTTTTCCCTCTCTTGAACTGGCAAACAAAAACCACTATGTAGAGTGCTATACAGGATAGCAGCTATCATCCTAACATGTAAAGATGCCAGAATTTAATGGTTTCAAAGCTTTCTTCAACCTAGCAGATACTCTTATGAAATCTGCTATCTTGCAGATCTGGGTCTGCTTACAGTCTTTGCTATCTGTTGCTTAGTACCTGAAGCCCGATTCGTCTCTAATGCTTGCTGTTTGCTAAGCTGCTGAAATGAAAACCATCTATTTGGAAATCTTTTAGTAAATTGTTCATGTAAAACTGTTTTTTTAGAAATGAAGGCTCTGAAACTGCTCAGTGTGAGATAACCGGTAAGTTTAATAGATTTCATTATCAGATTAAATTTGTTTTATTTAAAATTATTTACTGGGATTAAAATGTGTAACAATGTTGTATAAATGGACCTTGTCTCATAAAGCTGTTTTGCAAGCTATTAAACTTCAGATACCTCTGCACCTACTCCAAAAGATTATTGAAAACTTTTTGTGATATCTTTAGGTGTGTTTTTGTTCTGCCAAAATTTACTCAAAGTAATGAATATAGAGCAAGTTCACAGATCCTCAGTTCAGTTGATGCAACCTTTATCTTTTCTCTTCACAGGGATGGACACTTTGCTTCATGCCCCAATTCAGACTTCTGTGCAACAGACAGAGGTATATGAATAGTTACACTTTTTTAATACTGAAAATGTTAGTGTCCAAAACCCATTGCATTAACCTACTTAGGTTAATGTAACAGCACAGCCCAGTGATGCTGAAAATGTAACTCGGAATATAATTAACTAAACAAAACAGGATGTTAATTCAAAAATCTCTTGAAAGGAAAAACTTCAGACACCTTCAATACTCATCAGGCTCAGGGAAAATACTTGTACTGTGATATTACAGTAGCTTCCTAACTTCAATAGCTGAGCTTCAGTAGCTGAACCCCCTCTCTGCCCCTCCCCCCCCCAAACACACTGCTACAGCAAGGAAAGCAGTCACTAGGGCAAGGGGTCAAGTGGTCTCCTTGCCCTCTGCACTTCTCATTTCTTTCCCCTGCAGCATTCCTGGCCCCCTACCACCTGAAACCCCCAGCCCCGCCCTCCTCCCCCCCCTTTACTGTCTAACACTGCTCAGGCTGCCTGGCCATGCAACAGTGTTGATTCTGCCCATTGGCTGGGCAGGCGATGCAACAGTGTTGGTGCTGCTGATTGACTGGGCAGAAGAAGCAGTTTCCTTGTGCTCAGTGCACAGGAGAGCCCCAGCCAGAACCAATCTGTGCCTAAAAAATAAGTCAGGGAGGGAAGGGGGCAAGTGGAGGAGGAGGGGCAAAAGCTGCAGAGGGAAAGTAGGGAGCGGCAGGAGGCTGCTGTGGGCCTGACTCTGGCCCAAACCCAGGTTCAGGACCACAATAGCCTCCTGCTTCCTGCTGTGTTTTACATGCGAATATAAGACCAAAGGGCTTTTTTCCCATACTTACTAGGGTGGGTCGTCTTATATTTGGGTAAATGCAGTAAATTTTGAAGTAAAATTGCTGTGCGATTTTTCTGTTTCTTTCTAATGTATGCACTTTAATTATGGAGCTTTGCCTCTTCCTTTTGAAGGCATGTAAGCTTATTGCTGGTTCAAAAGGACAAATATATAAATGGTAGTCTGTCTTAAAAAATGCAATGCTGGCCTGAAGGCTGCATTAATTGACTGCAGTATTAAAATAAAATAAGCACTATGGCACTGTTTATAAATGTCAGTAACTGCAATTTCTTGTCTTTCTTCAGCAGTGTAATGCAGACCATACCAGTGAAGAAATGAATAGGCATGACAGAACACTTATCTTTTCAGATGAAAATGAAATGGATATGACAGCCAGTTGTACTGCAGTAATCATGCGCAGTAACCTCAAAAGGAATCAAGAAACTGACCAACCCAGAAAAATAGATTTCACATCGTTTATGGCTGAGTTAGCATCTAGAAGTGAAGAAATGGCCAAAGAATTTCGTTTTTTCTCTGATCCTACAAATGATGCATGTTCATCTCTTCAACAGAAGCCAGATGATACCACAGTGAAGAAAATAAATTTCAGTGAATTTTTGATGAGCGTGAAGTCAAGTGAAGAAGTTGCCAATACCACTTTTGCAATGCCTGACAAAAAGAACCTGTTTTTTGTCTCTCCACAAGTTTTGGAAGGCAATGTATTTTCTCCCATGGAGGATGCATATAACCATGCACAAGAGAAAACCTGTAATGTGACTAAAATTTTCAGAGGACAAGATGATGGAATGGATGTTACAAAGTGTCATTCATCTGACATGAAGACTTTCTTCCCTGCAACTTGCGAAGCCTCATCAAAGCAATTGAGGCATGAGGATATTACTGTGGCTTTTAGAAATGATGGTATGGACATGACTGCTAGTCACACTGTAAAATTGTCCTTCGCCAGAAATGATCCGTCCAACACTGAAAATCAAAATCAGAACATCAGCATGGACTTCTCATCTAATTTTGTATCTGGCAGTTCCAGATTAGAGGGACCACCTAATTATCAATTTGGTGTTCAAAAGGGCCCCCAAACATGTGTTGGGACGAAAACTGTAAATGCTAAAGATGAGGCAGATTTTACCAGAAGGCATACTATTTGCAGAGATGAGCATGAAGTAGTGCAGATCTCTAAACAAGGTGCCAGAGCAATGGTTATGATGCCTGGATCTGTTTCTTCTGGGGCTGTCTTCCTTGATAATAAAACTGTCTTTTCCACCTGCAGTGATATGGACGTTACTGGGAAATGCATAGACGTAATCTGTAAGGAAACCTGCAGGGAAACCTGTGGTTGTTATGCAGCCTCTCAAAAACCAGAAAATGCCACCCCTTTGCTAATGGAAAATACCATTTCAGGACATAATGATGACATGAACATTACAAAAAGGCACATAACTTCAGATAATCAAGTTTTGGGGCAGTGTAAAATCAGAGAACCTGTAGTATCTTCTGTCCTAGAGAACAGAAGTAAAATGGTGATTCAGAATCACAGGACTGTGGCTTTGAATGTTGGGGTAAATTCACATGCAAATTCTAGCTTTTGGCCTTCTAAGTGTGGATTTCAAGATAACCTGGCAAATTCTCATATTGTTTCAGGAGAAGAGATGGACCTGACTAAAAGTTACGTTGCCAATGGTATTGAAAAGACCATTGAAAATGAATTTCCTTCTGATATATCTACTTCTATAACAAACAAACCTCAAAGTTTTGGTAACATACCAACTGCTTGCAATTTAAATGAGCAGGAGGAAATGGAAATAACAAAAAGACATGCTGTAGTCACTGGCAATCAAACTACTAGAATAACTGCAGGACTAGAACAAATGCAACCTAAAATTACATGTGAAAGCTGGAAAAAAAACATAAGTGAAGCTGTAAGTCCTCTTGATTCTAATAAGGAAAATTTACTTTTGGTAAGGGGTAATAATACAAATGTTGAAATAATCCATACCCTAGGCACGAATGTTAGAGATCTCAAGGGACAAGTGGACTTTGAGAAAGCTGGAGAAAAAAATGCTTATGTGGGGGGTCTGCATTCCATTACAAAAAACATTATTTCACTCCAAGAACCAGATAAAGAAGTCCCCCAAAGACAAACCACTGCCACCAACAGACATGCACAAACAAATTTCCAAAAGCAAGCCTCTGAAATATCTCAGCCATTAAACGAAAGTATTTTTGACCGTTCACTTGCCTTTCCTAATGATGAAAGAGGTATTTTTTCAGATGATCAGGATATGGATATAACTAGAAATCATACTGTTGCTCTTGCTTTTGCTTCTACTTCTGGGCGACAAAAATGTGAAACTACACATTCCCAAAATAATGTAGTATCTAAAACACAGCAACTGCAAAATAATACCCTCCTGTTTTCTGGTGATTTCAGTACAGATATTACAAGAAGTCAAACTGCAGCAGTAGACTGTGGGAATTTCAAAATGAGCTCAAAACAGGAGCATCCAATGGCTGGCAGTGATCAGACTCCAGACCCTGTTGCTCCAAGTGTTTCTTTCATTTCCAGTAATGAGACTGTTCCCTGTGGAATTAAAGGATATATGCAGTGTGGGAAAACAGCAGGAATATACCTCAGCGACAAAGAATCTGAATTGCAAGGTCAAAGCCATACCATGGAGCCATTAAGTGAGGGAATGCCAGACATTGCAAATTCTGAGAATGTTTTGTCAACTAGTAAAGGGGTTTCTTCAGAAGAGGATGTCAGTAAAAGTCATATTGCTGCAAATAATGACATGTATTTGAGGTGTGCAGAAGAGTCATTGTTAACTAGAACATCTAGGCCATATTCAAAAAATCCACAGTTGTCTCCTTGTCCAGAAAAGTCAGTTGTGTTGTCCTCTAAAGAAAATATGGCTCTAACTGGAAGTTATTCATTAAATGTTCAGGCTAAAAGCCCAGACAAAGTTTTAAAAGAAGAAAAGGTAGTGGCTAAATATGTGAATCGAGTTGAAGATAACATTTTATTTCCTAAAGAAAAGGACGTTATTACTACAAATCGCCTGAGGCAACAAGGACACACCTCATGTCCCATGATATCTGACAAGAACACGCTAAATTTAACTGACTTAAAGCCCGTGTCTCTCTTGAATGAGAAGACTGTCCTATTTTCAGAAGATAACGATATGGAAATCACCAGAAATCACACAGTAGCAGCAGACAATAAAATGTATGCACAAAAGAAAAGTTCAAGCAGGGCACTACTGTGTTTTCCTGCAGACAAAACTTGTGTATTTACATGCAGTGATGACATGGAGATCACTACACTCAATACTGTGGTAACTGACAAACCTGTAGAAATGGCTGCATCTCAAGTTGTGCCAAAACCAGATAAAGGAGCTGGAAAAAAAAGCCAGATTGGGTCAACTGGAGAAAAGACTACTTGCTTTTCATATGGTGTTGAGAATGACATGGAGATCACGGAGAGCTGTACAGCAGCAATAGACCGTCAGATAAGCTCAAAAAGTCAGAGGGCGCCTTGTGAGCCAACTTTAAATTATGTGGACAAAACTCATGTTTCTACGTACAATGATGACATGGAGATCACTGCACTTAACACTGTGATAATTGACAAACCTGTAGAAAAGGCTGCATCTCAAGTTATGCCAAAAGTAGGTAAAGGAGCTGGAAGGAAAAGCCAGATGGGGTTAACTGGAGAAAAGACTAGGTTGTTTTCATTTGGCGTTGAGAATGACATGGAGATCACGGAGAGCTGTACAGCGGCAATAGACCGTCAGATAAGCTCAAAAGGTCAGAAGATGCCTTGTGAACCAACTTTAAATTATGTGGACAAAACTCATGTTTCTACGTGCAATGATGACATGGAGATCACTGCACTTAACACTGTGATAATTGACAAACCTATAGAAAAGGCTGCATCTCAAGTTATGCCAAAAGTAGGTAAAGGAGCTGGAAGGAAAAGCCAGATGGGGTTAACTGGAGAAAAGACTAGGTTGTTTTCATTTAGCGTTGAGAATGACATGGAGATCACAGAGAGCTGTACAGCAGCAATAGACCGTCAGATAAGCTCAAAAGATCAGGAGCCACCTTTACTTTACCTGGACAAGAATATTGAATTTGCATTTAATCAGGATGATATGCAAATAACTGAATCTTGTGCTGTTCCTAGAATTGTGCAAAGAGTAATGTCTAAGGACCAGCTAAAATTGGATGCACAGGTTGGACAGGAAGCCCTTTCAAATAACAAAACAGTAATTTTTCCTATGGGTGAGAATGTGGAGATCATTAAAATCCCTAAAGTAGCGGTGGATTATAATGAAATTGCCCTGCGGGGTGGACAATCCAACCAAACTGTTCCTATAGCTCCGGTTGATAAAACTATTGTGTTTACAGGTAATCAGGATACTATGGAGATTTCTGCATCTCACACTACTGCTGTTAATAATACCCTTAAAGGATATGAGAATCAAGAAGTATCAGATGAGGGCGGCCAGCAGCAGAGTTTACATAGAAAACCTTCCTCCACTTGTAGAGAGAAAATATATTCCAAGCACACAGGAGACTTCAGAAGTGATTGCCAGTTAGAATTGAAGGACAAATATGGAACAAATTTTCCTTTTTCATCAGAAACCAATACTATCAAAATCCACAATGGTGCAACAGAAGAGTTCATTCATCCTGAAGATGCATTAGATATCATTCAGAAGCCACAAAACTTTACTGACTTTCCCAAAGCTAATTCTACTTCTGTTAACAGTGAGGATCTAGGTAAATTAGTAAGACCCAAAGACACAAAGAGGGTGTCTTTCAAGCTTCTAGAAAATCAATTGGAAACTTCTGAGGTAAAAAGTGAAAATGAAGTCACAAAGAACAGTCCTGTGGTGTGCAGTGAAGAAAATGGAGATGCTGTATTGCATGTTCAAAGTCCTATCCAACAACCTCACTTACATAAGGACACTTCTGAGTGTTTGAGGAAGAATGCACATAGTGTGCCAAATATAGAAAATTTAGACTTGAAAAATGATTCTGGGAAGCTTACTTCATCCAGGCAAGAATGTAGACTCACAGATTTAGTTACTGATGGAGCAGACGCTGTTACAATTTCTTACAAAGAGATGGAGGAAAATGAAAAAATGCCTTTTGAAAAGAAAACACTTCCAAAAGATTTTCAAACAACTTCAGAACAGACTGAACAACTTTCCTTGGTCACTGTTGTTCCTACAGATCAGATAGATCCCAACTGTGTACCTGCATTATCTGGTATTGTAAATGTTTGTTCCAGATTAAAACATATTAGAAGAAAGTCTGAGTTTGCTACCATTTCTGAAATTGATCCTGTCTCTAACTTTGCTGAACAGTTGCCTAAATTGGCAACACAGCCAGGAGATTCTTTCAGAGTAGGAAAAGATACTGAAAACAAGTCCAATAATGCAGTCAGAATTCAGGAGCCAGCAAACGTGTATTTTGAAAGTGGAGGTGCTTCTGTGGATACTCTTTTAGACACAGTACATAAGGGTGCTTGTCAAGGGAGGAAGATACGTCTTGGTATCTTCCTACCTAAATTGCCCAACAACAGAAATTGCAACACTTCTAATGCAGAGGACCTAAACAAAGCAGAAGAAAAAGAAAAAACTGCAGTTCCAGAAGTAAATTTGGTCACTAGAGAAACCCCAGAAAATACATGTCTTAAGCATAACTTGAGCCCTTCTCAGTTTATAGCTGAGGAATTGCTTCCTGTGTTTCCAGAAGAAATGGACTCAAATGATTCTTTAAGTTGTGACCCCCCAGATGGGGCTCTTAGTGTAATGGATAAAAAAGAGATCTTTCCTAATAAAAGGAATTCACATGAAGAACAAGAAATTTGCAGCAACCAGAAAAGAGCTATAGAGCAAGAGGAAAAAGAACTCCAGAATGGGAAGAAGCTCAAGAGGGATGATGGATGGGATGACAGTGCTCCAAACCAACAACAGGTGGGCTTAATTACTTACATTTAGAACATAGTTAACTGTCACAGGGCTTTAAATTCACCCTGCCTGAATTTTAGGAGTGAATTAAAGCTGTTTAGTGGAAGGTTTTACTGTAAGAATTTCTTGCATGTGCCAGTCCATAACTTTGCCTTTCCCTAGGCAACTCTTGTCTTGTCCTAACAAAGGAATAGTAAGAAATTGTTTTGTGGAACTCCTGTGTGTGAGGAAACTGGACCCTATACAGGTTTCCCTCAATTTATGCAAGTTCTTTATATGTGAATTCACTCTTATGCGATGAGCATATTTAGACCCATAATTTGTTATATGCAAGGTAAATTCACTCTTGTGCAATCAGCATAGATGTCCCCCTGTCCAAGCAGGTAAGTCTGTGGGTTTAGGAGAAAGGGCCATTGCCCCACTCACCCCGGCCCCGGCTGCAGCAGCCCTGGGAATGGCCAATGCCAGCCGCCTGCAGCTGCCAGGCTGCACCATGCTCCACCTGGGCTCACCTCAGCTCTTGAGCTGTACTGTGCCATGATGTAGGCAGCTGGTGTTGGCTGCTCCCAGGGCTGTCGTGAGTGCAGACAACCAGAGCCCTGGGTGGTGCAAGGCACAGCACTCACCCTAGCCCTGGTTGCAGCAGCTCTGGGAGCAGCCGACACCAGCTGCCTGCACCAGGGCATGGCGCAGCCCAAGAGCAGAGGTGAGTGGGAACAGGCAGAGCACGGTACTGCCCAGCAACTGCAAACAGCTGGTGCCGGTTGCTCCCAGGGCCGCTGCAGCCAGGGCTGGAGTGACAGCCACTCTGCTCCCTCTGCTTTGCTACCTTGTGCAGCCCTGTGAGTGGCAGCTCTTCCCCTGCCCCTTCCCTAGTCCCAGCCTGCCTCCCTCACCACCATGGGAACCTATCCCTATTTATTACATTGTAAAGTGGGTTCACTTTATGCGAATTCAGTTTATGCGCCATTCTCCAGGAATGCATATACAGTATAAATCAAAGGAAACCTGTATAAGGGGAACTGATGTTTGCTCATTTTTTAACTCACTGACTCAATAGTTTAAAGTTCATTCTTCCTTTGATAAATGTTTATGGTCCATTGAACTGTTTGGCAGAATCATGCTGCTTTGTTTGGTATCCTGTACAGACCCATATTTAATAACACCTGGATATTAGTAAAGTGAAGAAGGGTCTTGTTAGTTACTAGATTCATGATGCGTTTAAAAGACTACTTCTCTGTTCTTCCTGGTGGGAGTGTAATAGAATTATTCTGGCTGTTATCTATTGTAAATCCCATCAGTATGGGAAATGTTATAGTTGCAAAACCTTATGTGGACATGCAAATGAATTTTAATTGGATTTATAGATGAATGTATTGAATTTCAGCTGATAGTTAGGGGTGGATCCAGAGAAGGATCAGTCAACTGTATTGCAAAAAAGGACTTTGAGTCCCTGAAGAAAGTAAGAATTCCATCCCCCCTCCCTTCCCCTCTGTGCTCAGATGTAAATCTCCTCCTTTCCCATTATCCCCCACCGCCCCAACTGCCACTGGTGCTGGGTCCCCAGTTTTCCAAGGTTAAAGGAAGCTCTTGTCTCACTCCAGCCAGGTTGCGCAAGGGCTGGGTTCAGCCTGGGGCAGTGGTTGCAGTGAGTGGGTTCCCCCTTCTTGCCTGGTCCATCCCATTTGCCCCTCTCCTCCCCCCACCCACATGTTCCATGCCAGCCTGGGAGCAGGCAAAGCAAGGGAGAACTCACCTGCCTCCTGCTGTTCCAAGCTGAGCCCAGCCCCAGTACAGCCCAGCTAAAGCAGCAGGTAGGGAATGGACGGAGAGTATGTTCCTCTGAACTGGGAGGTGAAGTTGGGCGGGTGGGAACTTCTTACCTGTTTTGGGGACTTAACAAAGTCCTTGACTATTGTTCCTGTGGTATGGTCTGCCTGCCCTGGCTGGGGCACGGAGGAGGCTGGGCATGGGTGCAGCCACTTACCATGTTCTGATTTTTCTTACAACTGCCAATATTTAACCACCCTGGTTGAATTTTTCTGTAATTGTATTCCTTGGGCTGATGTATAGAAAAAAATTTGGCTGAGAAACTTCAGTCACTTCTGAAAATGAGGCTAATTAAAAAGTACATTTTAACCCATAATAAGAGACTTTGGTAACCTGGTCTTTGAGAAACTAGAACTCCAATCCTTTGGTTGCAGTGGCTTGTAGTCTGGCAGAGAGTGACTTTTATGTAGTGCTCACTTTACCATGTCTGATTATCTGTCCAAATTGTTAAGAACCTATAAAGAAAATCTGTATCTACATGCTTAGTAGAAACTTGGTAGAGTTTAAACAGCAAGGCAGCAACCCTAGATTTCAGGAGGGCAAACTTCACTGAGCTAAGGAGAATAGTCAGGGATGCACTGAGGTCCCAGAGGGGAGGGGAGCCAGGTGTCCAAGGAGAGTGGTCGCTCCTCAAGGAGACAATCCTCCAAGTCCAAAGAGAGGTAATCCCAACGAGGATCAAAGGGAGCAGGAGGGCACACAAGCCCCCATGGCTCACCAAAAGCATCCGGGAATGTCTCCTAGCTAAAAGGGAGGTGTACACCCAGTGGAAAAGAGGGGACATCACCAGGGATGACTATACTGCAGTTGTTCAGGGATGTAGGGGGGCAGTCAGGAAGGCCAAGGCAGAGATGGAACTGAGACTAGCTTCCCGGGTTAAGGACAATAAGAAGTCCTTCTTTAAATACATAGGGGGTAAAAAGAAGGTTCCAGGTAATGTGGGGCCCGTGCAGGACACGTTAGGAAA